CCCCCCCCCCCCCATGCTCGATGTAATTTTCGTTGGAAATTTTCCAGAGCCCCCCCCCCTAAATCATAGAAGGGAAAAAAAGTGACCCCCCCTTCAAAATCATCATAGCCCACCCTCTAGGTAAATTATGAATGCTCCCTTAGGTGGTCACTCTAATTCTCCACGGAATCATCATTAAACTATTTTCTTCTTATGTCAATGTTGCCTCTATTCCATATGAAAACCTTACAAAACCGACAATCCCTTGATTCGTTCTGACAAAAGAATGAGGCGCAGATTGTTTTTCACTGTTTGACTGCCTTCTCCTCGATTAGCAAGCTCACATTGACTATCCTGGAGTCAATTTTCTCAGTCGTATTCCAGATAGTACGCAACTGTCCCGTATAGGATAGATTTAAATTTTGCACTGTAATCACAGCTCACCGTGGTGTGAGTTTTGAACAAAAGTCAAAATTTGGGCAACGCCCAGTATTCTAGATTTCTACTGTTTGATTGCACTGATTATGTGCTACAGCGGATTCCAGTTAAAACTACCACAGCTGGGCCATTTGACTGAAACCCCTACAAAGTTAACGTTCGTAATCATTCAATTCATATGTTGTGATGAAACAAATAAAATGAATAAATGAAAGTGATACTGTGATCCTTAACCTTTCTGGACGATGTAATGATGGATGAACTCACAATAGGATTATCTGCAATTCCGAGTATCGGTCTGTTTGATATCACTGAGATTTTAACGCACTTTGAAAAAGCTTTTCTTGTTTATCAGATTTTCCCACCAAAAATTCAGTCGGTCGGATTTAAGAGGTAAATATCTGAAGAAAATAAAGTGTTTTGGGACTCCGGGGAGTGGCTGATGGTATAACAAGGTGGTCGAATTAATGAGGTTGTAGAATAAGACTGAAAGTGCTAGAGTTTCGTTATGGTGGAGAAAGAAAAGCCTGTTAGAATTTCGTCTGCGTACCTCTTTATTTGCGCGCTGAACTGAATACCACTTCACTTACATTGGACAGTGATGACTGTCCATGAGCTACTCAAGGCGCCATAGGTAAAAAGGGCGCACTTAAAAAGGTGGTAGTACTTATTACAGGGTGAACTGCGCAGACGTAAATCTTACGAATTAGAAAATAAATACACCTTGGTTCATACTATTTTTTCATGGTTATCCTGCGAAATGTAAATATAGTTGAAGTACTGATTTCGCGCCTCCCCTCCCTACGCTATACACTCCAACTCCCGCACTATTGGTGTATTTGAAACCAATATGGCCGCCAGTTATAGTCTCGTAAGCGCTCTATCGCTGCCATCTTACGAAAAAATAAGGAGCTGGGGTCTTAAAAGAAACTAGTGCAGAACTTGCTTAACATTAAGTTAAAGATAACAACTAATTACGCTGTCAGACCAGAAGATTTATAAAAACGACACGGTAAATGTAATGTATACAATTCAAACGGAAAAAAGTTTTAAGAGAGTATCATCTTCGTACCCAATTGATTTAATGAAAGCTATGTACTTTTGCGAGTGCATGAAAGGAGAACACAAAGGGGAAATGCTCGAAAATTCGTTGTTGAATATCACGAAGTTTTTGAATAGGGTCCATTTGTAGTAATCAGTCGATGGACACGCTTGTCCAACAATCTACTGTCAATCTGATGACTGACTGTTCGTACGCAAAGATATTTCCCGTGTTTCACGTCTACACCTGTTCTTGCACCCTTCTTAGGGATTTATGGGAGAAAGCTGACTTTCGACACGAGAGTATCAGCATTCCTTCCTATCCCCCTCCCACAGACACGCCCTCCTCCTACGGCTTTATAGCACAGAGCTGACTTTCGATAAGAGAGTGGAAGGTGCTTCCATTCAAGCAGGGAACAGATTTGATTGCAAATGAAAGTCCACAACAAGGGATTTCAATTACATTTCTCTAAAACGTTAGACGAGACCTACGGACTACGCAATAAGGCGTTCATATTATTTAAAATTATCATGTTCGTCTTGGCCCTTGCCTTTCTTATTTCTTCTTCCCAAAAGTTTCTCCCACCAACCGAATCCCCAGAAGTGCTCTTCACCAAATTTCGGTGCATCGTGCCTTTTTAAGTACTCTCCACTTCTCTTCCTTTCCAAATCACGAAGTTCCTTCCTCATGATATCATTACTCCAAGAGATATAACTTGCTTCGTCGCCCCAGTCTGATGAACCTGAAGTGAGCGGCGTTAGCGGCAACTCGCTTGGAGCATCACTGCTTTCATGGCCGGTAGACTCGAGCATTTTCAAGCGTCGATTGTGTTCGCGTTCCCGACGACGATTCTCCGACTGAATGCGTTCCTCGAACGAACCCAAGTAAGGCGAAAAGGCTTGGCGACGGTGCTTCTGCATTTGATAAAGTTCGCTTTGCATTTCTTTGAGTCGAGAAATGCAGCGCTTGAAGGAAAATATTTCTTCATCGCCGGTCAAAATCCCCAGAGATCTCAAATCAAAAAAAGTGACCCCCCCTTCAAAATCATCATAGCCCACCCTCTAGGTAAATTATGAATGCTCCCTTAGGTGGTCACTCTAATTCTCCACGGAATCATCATTAAACTATTTTCTTCTTATGTCAATGTTGCCTCTATTCCATATGAAAACCTTACAAAACCGACAATCCCTTGATTCGTTCTGACAAAAGAATGAGGCGCAGATTGTTTTTCACTGTTTGACTGCCTTCTCCTCGATTAGCAAGCTCACATTGACTATCCTGGAGTCAATTTTCTCAGTCGTATTCCAGATAGTACGCAACTGTCCCGTATAGGATAGATTTAAATTTTGCACTGTAATCACAGCTCACCGTGGTGTGAGTTTTGAACAAAAGTCAAAATTTGGGCAACGCCCAGTATTCTAGATTTCTACTGTTTGATTGCACTGATTATGTGCTACAGCGGATTCCAGTTAAAACTACCACAGCTGGGCCATTTGACTGAAACCCCTACAAAGTTAACGTTCGTAATCATTCAATTCATATGTTGTGATGAAACAAATAAAATGAATAAATGAAAGTGATACTGTGATCCTTAACCTTTCTGGACGATGTAAATGATGGATGAACTCACAATAGGATTATCTGCAATTCCGAGTATCGGTCTGTTTGATATCACTGAGATTTTAACGCACTTTGAAAAAGCTTTTCCTGTTTATCAGATTTTCCCACCAAAAATTCAGTCGGTCGGATTTAAGAGGTAAATATCTGAAGAAAATAGTGTTTTGGGACTCCGGGGAGTGGCTGATGGTATAACAAGGTGGTCGAATTAATGAGGTTGTAGAATAAGACTGAAAATGCTAGAGTTTCGTTATGGTGGAGAAAGAAAAGCCTGTTAGAATTTCGTCTGCGTACCTCTTTATTTGCGCGCTGAACTGAATACCACTTCACTTACATTGGACAGTGATGACTGTCCATGAGCTGCTCAAGGCGCCACAGGTAAAAAGGGCGCACTTAAAAAGGTGGTAGTACTTATTACAGGGTGAACTGCGCAGACGTAAATCTTACGAGTTAGAAAATAAATACACCTTGGTTCATACTATTTTTTCATGGTTATCCTGCGAAATGTAAATATAGTTGAAGTACTGATTTCGCGCCTCCCCTCCCTACGCTATACACTCCAACTCCCGCACTATTGGTGTATTTGAAACCAATATGGCCGCCAGTTATAGTCTCGTAAGCGCTCTATCGCTGCCATCTTACGAAAAAATAAGGAGCTGGGGTCTTAAAAGAAACTAGTGCAGAACTTGCTTAACATTAAGTTAAAGATAACAACTAATTACGCTGTCAGACCAGAAGATTTATAAAAACGACACGGTAAATGTAATGTATACAATTCAAACGGAAAAAAGTTTTAAGAGAGTATCATCTTCGTACCCAATTGATTTAATGAAAGCTATGTACTTTTGCGAGTGCATGAAAGGAGAACACAAAGGGGAAATGCTCGAAAATTCGTTGTTGAATATCACGAAGTTTTTGAATAGGGTCCATTTGTAGTAATCAGTCGATGGACACGCTTGTCCAACAATCTACTGTCAATCTGATGACTGACTGTTCGTACGCAAAGATATTTCCCGTGTTTCACGTCTACACCTGTTCTTGCACCCTTCTTAGGGATTTATGGGAGAAAGCTGACTTTCGACACGAGAGTATCAGCATTCCTTCCTATCCCCCTCCCACAGACACGCCCTCCTCCTACGGCTTTATAGCACAGAGCTGACTTTCGATAAGAGAGTGGAAGGTGCTTCCATTCAAGCAGGGAACAGATTTGATTGCAAATGAAAGTCCACAACAAGGGATTTCAATTACATTTCTCTAAAACGTTAGACGAGACCTACGGACTACGCAATAAGGCGTTCATATTATTTAAAATTATCATGTTCGTCTTGGCCCTTGCCTTTCTTATTTCTTCTTCCCAAAAGTTTCTCCCACCAACCGAATCCCCAGAAGTGCTCTTCACCAAATTTCGGTGCATCGTGCCTTTTTAAGTACTCTCCACTTCTCTTCCTTTCCAAATCACGAAGTTCCTTCCTCATGACATCATTACTCCAAGAGATATAACTTGCTTCGTCGCCCCAGTCTGATGAACCTGAAGTGAGCGGCGTTAGCGGCAACTCGCTTGGAGCATCACTGCTTTCATGGCCGGTAGACTCGAGCATTTTCAAGCGTCGATTGTGTTCGCGTTCCCGACGACGATTCTCCGACTGAATGCGTTCCTCGAACGAACCCAAGTAAGGCGAAAAGGCTTGGCGACGGTGCTTCTGCATTTGATAAAGTTCGCTTTGCATTTCTTTGAGTCGAGAAATGCAGCGCTTGAAGGAAAATATTTCTTCATCGCCGGTCAAAATCCCCAGAGATCTCAAATCGAGTTGGGTGAGCTCGAGATCGTAAGCCAACTCCCCGATCATTTCAATGTGCATCTTGTCTTCGTTCAGTGAGTCGTCGCTTGGAATCAGCTGAAACAAATTATCAGGCGAGCTAGCCGCGGTGCAAAACAACTTCACTTTGCTCTCGTATGCAGCATCCACAAAACTTAAAAAGCGCCTGGCCTCGTTCTTCTGGTAAATATTCATTTGGGGAATATCTTCCACAAATATTGTGTGGAAATGATTACAGATGGTAATATAATCTGCTGGACCTAGCGGGGATCTACAGAGTTCGTTGAAAGAAAATCGAGCCACGCGATTCTCTGAGGCAACAGGCACGAGTACCTTCCGACCGTACACGGGAAGAGAAACCGATGAAAGCCGAAGTCCACTTCCGACTGCCTTGCAAAATGCTTCGTCCAGCGCCTTCTCTGTCTCAGCCGTGATTGGGGTAAAGTAAGTCTCCTTTCCAGGTTTCTGGAAAATTCTGTGGTCTTTCTCTGAATCCATGGCTACTAGCTCACAGTGTCGTGTTAATAAACCCACAAGTGACGTCACAGAGTCCAATGCCTCTTCCTCACGTCCAAAAGATGACGTGCCAAGTTCAAAGGGGGATCTGGAAACCACGATTTTTAAAAACAATCAGTGTTTGAACTCGAGAAAGATGGCGGATTTTAAGCTCGGGAAATGAGCGTGAGGGGTGTGATTATCAGCATGTCACGAGCGTGGGACAAAGAAAAAGAGCTTGAGTTCCCGACAGCATTTAAACCTATATGACACTCCCAACACCAGGNCAACTACCTAGTGAACTAAGTTCATGGCTGAGTGCAGAGTGAGCAAGATCAGAAAATTAAACGACAGATCGGCTATCAGTGAGATAATTCTTTAAATTTTTTTTAAAAACTTCAGAAGAGCCAGATAGTCTTTTGGACAATCAGCGGGAAGGAAAACCCCTAAGCTAGAGGTATACACTGACATACATATCTGATCCTATATATGAAGGAATGAGCTTAAAATCTCAATAACTAAACCTTTCACTTCTCTTATGACCGAAGAAAAATTGTAGCGAGCGATCAGGATAATGCCGCTAAAACCTCAGCATCAATTTACACTAACAAGTTGATTATTTTTTTTGGCAAGAGGGCATTTTTCACCTTGCTGTTTTCAACAAAGATGTCTAGCAATCCCACAAACATTGCAGTGAAACCACTTGCCCATGGCTCGTGGTTCCACTTGAGTATTGAAATTGATGTCATTTCTATGGTCGATAAAAGTACCGACCAGGGAAGATTGTTGTCAATTTATTAATGTGACTTTACATTTCTGGTCTCTATTACTTTAAATTCTTGGATTGAATGAAATCTTGTAGTAAATGTAACTGTTTAAATGTCACCTTTTCATCTGTACTTTGTTTTGGTGTATTTTATGAGAAGAGAGTAATAGATTTTTCTTTAATTTGAAGACTTTGCATTCTTTGAAGTGAAATGACTAAGACAACTATGTAATCTTACAATACCTGTTAGATGTTGTAACAATCACTGTCCCCTTTTCCAGCATTGTTCGAAACACGCCTTCCAGGAGACGAGTAGAACCAAAGTCAGCCAGTTGCATTTCGTCAAAACAGAGCAACCATGCCTCGCCTGCTAGCTCAGATGCAACGGCTTCTACTGGGGTTACATCGAATGTCACCTCATAATTTGGACAGCAAAGGTTCCACCGATTCATCAGTGAATACAACTGCAGCATGAAGGAATAAAAATGGACACGCTTCTTGTTTAAGACAGGAATACTGTCATAAAAGATGTCCATCAACATTGTTTTTCCACTTCCCACTCCTCCGTGGAGATAGAGTCCCTGAGGTGCTTCTTGTGGTTGTGAATCTGAAGACAAAAAAAAGGTTTGATGTGATAAGAAAGTGATCAGTAATCATAAATTCCAATGGGAGAAGCTTTTGGTACACATTTCGAGCATGCGTGTCATCCACATAATCATGCAAAAAAAACACTGTGGTAAGCCCCTTCAGGGGAATAAACTTTTGGGCATGTTCGGAGAGTGAGCGGTAAAATTCAACATTTTACAGAAAGTAGGATTTATTTACAGTGAAACCCTGTCAATACAGACACTGAGGGGCCCAAATAAAGTGTCTGATTAATGGGGTGTTGAATTTAGGAAATATGTAAGGGTTAGGGACAAGGAAAATTATGTGTAATAACCAGGTGTCCATATTATTAAGCTGGTGTCTGAAAAGTGGGATTTGACTGTAATTATTTAGTTATTTCATTTATTTTAACAGAATTATACTCTCATTGGTAAAAGGGCTAATCCTCACTAACAGTCAGCTTTTTCATCTCTTTTATAAGCTTTTTACATGGCAAACAATAATATTCACCTTCAATATCAACTCATTAATATACTAAAATCTAGCCCACAAGCAAGCTCTCTTGGGGCTCCCAGGGGTACAGGGGTGGGGGAGGGAGAGGGGTAGGTGAGCTTGCACTTGCGTCTCTTAAATTTGAATATCTTCATCCCAGAATGGGATGCAAAATGCTGACTGGCCAATTTTTAATCAGGCGATGACGTTATGTTCCCTTGGGAGAGCTTGCTTGCAGACTAACCGGCTAGACAACTTTTTTGGCGTGAAACCTTTGAAAACCTTTTGCTCTAACGAAAAGACCTCCTTCAGAGATTTTATGCTTTTAAAATTTCAACATAGGTGTGCTATTTACTAGTTGCTTAAATAGCTTCTTTGTAGTGGGCAGAAAAGGACTCGAAATAGATTTTATATTACAATGGAGGAAAAATATGTATAATTTTAGCACCTTATGCAACAGAAAAATTCAGTCTGGTGTATTCCTACAATTTGTAATCTGTTTTAATAGCAGAAGAGAGACGCAATTTCTTTTAGATGTTCCAGACGTCTTTGTTTCAAAACAATTTCAGAGAAACAATAGTCTGAGTTAAAGTACGCAAATATCTTGTTGTCTCAATGCCAAGGGCTGAAGCAGGCATTTTTCTGTTGATCTTGCACCCTCAATGACCTGCCTATAAAAAACACTTCTGGTGTTTTATCTTTTTGCTGCAGCTGTACTTTCAGGGCTTAATTCGCTAGTGGGAAATTTATCTTTCATGCACGGATGAGTTTCTTTGGGATGATCCAAGATGTAGTCCTTTCTCATCACAGCAGATAGTGACCAGAAAAGCTATCTTCAAAAGTTGTTTTTCACCAAAAGTAGAAGGAGGAAATGGGTTAATGCACTTATCAGCAGCCATCCCAAGAGATAATATGGCCATGACGAAGGAATTGTTGACATTTGCTGCTAATTTTTAGTCCAAGAAGGGAGAATTGAATCACTTTGCACTTTTATAGCAGGGGAAAGACCTGCGGGATTTGTAATGCACCTAGCGGAGAAGGGCATGGTAGCCTTTTTGTACTGAAATATTATTCTTGGGTGGGGGGATTGGTAAACATCATTGTACAAATGCCCAGGGGGTCCCGGGGTTAACCCCCTCGGATGGCCACTGATAAGTGAATGTCGCATACGTGTTTGAGCTAATAGATTCTTATTAATTTAACTTATTTGGGTGAAATACTATAATTTGCTGCCTTTGAATTCTTAACCCATTCACCCCTGAACTGGCCATGAGTGCCCATGCGGATTCATGTCCCTTCTAACGCTTTTGATGTCTTCAGTTTTAACAGTCAAGAACAACTTTGTACACTAACTTGTGCAGGGAGAAGAGATCTTTCAAACCACCCTAGCATGGGCACAATTCAGGAGAGGAGAGCGGAAAGAAAGGCAGAAAACATGTAACATTGACCTGAAAATTTCCATCAAAATCTTGTTTCACTACCCACTTAACTTTCCTTTCATCTAATCCTACGATCCTGAAAGCTTTCCCTAAAAATTTTCCAAGAAAAATGAAGCCTACTATTGTCCAGCAAAAGAAAAAAATTAACGTATGCTAATATTTTGCATCTGGGTCAGAAGGCCGCGAAGTACACGACCTTTAAATAGCTTAGTGGTATGTTTAAGCTCTTTATAGCCAGAGAGTGACTAGAAAACCGCTCGACTAGCGTTTTTCGACAAAATTCCCAAGGGCGAATGGGCTAAGAAATGCAAGGGCAATGTGGAAATCTTAAAATTGCACAGTGTATTAAACAAGGCCTTTGCAGCTCGATACAGTTCAGAGGGACAGTGTATACGGAAGCGTTTTATTAACAATATTCCGGACTTACTTGTCTGTTGTAGTCGAGGATCATAATCCTTGAGTCGCTCGTATAAACCTTGCAGCTGATAGACGACTTGAAGTTGACAGTCATCTGGCTTAAGTACTTGCCTTTCCAGATAGGAGTTGTACAGTCGTAAAGGTCCTTCATCAGAACTCGCTACTTTGCTACAACATGATTTTCTCAACGCACAACTAAGAGCTTGAATGTCCCAGAGAAAACCGCGACGAATGACGCGCTTTGTCGAACGAGCAAGTATGGACGAGAACATTGACGTTCTGATAAATTAGGAAAATACTTTCGTGGATTTTTTTATGCGATATCGTTAGAAATTAAATTAAATTGGAAATCGGAGAAAATAAGTAATAAATTAACGATCAGAAATTGAGTACAAGGCGAACAAATGGTCGATTACAAAGCCAACCCCATCATCCGCCATCTTTGAAATTATGTAACCGGGATCACCCGCTGTAAATCCCAGAATGCAATACTCTGATGTCCGCTGGTCATGAGACACGCGCCACAGGATCTGGGCTGAGTCATCAAGTGAATTTGTCTAACCATGGAAGTAAAATGTTCTCTTGCTTGCACCTATTCCCAACACGTGACAATTCAGATGCTTTTGCGAGTTTTATTTCTGTTTGTTTGTTTTTTTTTTGTTGTTGTTGTTGGTTTTTTTGGCAAAGGGATGGAGGATCCACCCTCTGATAAGCGTGAAAGATAGGCTCCGTTTTCCTGTCCTGCAATCTTCGTTTGGTTTTACCTATGTAGAAATCCTGGTAGTCCCAACAACTAGCCTTACAAACAAACCTGGACATTTGAGACTGAACGGGTGAGTCTGTCTTTGTAGGGCAAAAAAGACTTAATACGATGGCTTATTTGGAAAACAACTCGAAGGTCAAAGCAGCCGTAGAATTTGCAAGCCTTCACTTGTTTGGTGAGGATTCTGCTTTCTAACCCTAAATAAGGTAGAACTAAGAGGACTTCCTTTTTGGGTACTGTGGTGATTGGCTGTTTGGGTCCGTTTTGTTATCTGTTCAAAACATCATTAATCACTCAACACACCGCTGGGACAGCCGCTTTGTAATTCTCAGTTCATCCAAAGAACTCAGAAGAGAGGGTGACGAGCAAGTGTGGAAACAGCGAAAAGTTAGGGTGCGGATAAGGTTTATCTTGTATTTTCGGAGTATGAAAGAGTCACAGAAATGCGATTATATTTCCTTATCTTTATCACTGCAGTTTGCTTTTTGTTTCTTCTGAAGATAGTACAGCTTTAGCTTGTGGCTACCGTTCTCTTCTTCATGTTTTTTCAATGAAAAATGCTGCGAACCAACCAAATCAACACTCAGCAAGGACCCAGGGTTTAACGTCATGCAAGTTCTGATCGCACCTGTCTAAGCTATGAAGCCATTTACAAGAGTGATCCAGATCGATTTAGTGATAAAATGAAATCAGCAGTCTCCTCTTTTTCTTCAACTTTATTCGTCACCACCACATGATAGGTAAATGCCCTAAGAAATAAGCCTGAGAAAACAGCCGACATTCCTCGAGCGTCGCGAAATGTTGGTTGTACTCTTAGGCTACCTAACAGCTGTACCTAAGGATTCTCTTTCTATCAAGTCAATTCTATTTGCACGTAATGAAAGTTAAACAGAGTTACAGATGGTACAAGTTCCAGCTCAGCTTCATCAACCTCGTCCCAAGAGAAATTGACAGGTTCATCTGGAAAATGGCACACCCCAGCTCGTTCCCAGGGTTCTTTCCTACTCGTCCCCGTAGGAAGAGAAACCGATGAAAGCCGAAGTCCACTTCCGACTGCCTTGCAAAATGCTTCGTCCAGCGCCTTCTCTGTCTCAGCCGTGATTGGGGTAAAGTAAGTCTCCTTTCCAGGTTTCTGGAAAATTCTGTGATCTTTCTCTGAATCCATGGCTACTAGCTCACAGTGTCGTGTTAATAAACCCACAAGTGACGTCACAGAGTCCAATGCCTCTTCCTCACGTCCAAAAGATGACGTGCCAAGTTCAAAGGGGGATCTGGAAACCACGATTTTTAAAAACAATCAGTGTTTGAACTCGAGAAAGATGGCGGATTTTAAGCTCGGGAAATGAGCGTGAGGGGTGTGATTATCAGCATGTCACGAGCGTGGGACAAAGAAAAAGAGCTTGAGTTCCCGACAGCATTTAAACCTATATGACACTCCCAACACCAGGAAGGCCCTCTGCTCACTGAGATAAAGAGAGTCTCGTAGAGAGCAACGCTATACACTAGGTCAAATGTTTTACATGCGTCCTGCAAACTGCTACGATCAACATTTCCAGAGGGTATTGTATGAAATTTCGAAAGATGGTGAATTTTAAGCTCGGAAAATGAATGTGAAAGATGTGATCATCAGCACGTAGATGAACTAATGGATATTTGCCAGCAACCAGTGTGAGATGAAAATCGCCTTAAAACCAGCTTTACGATCCTTAAAAGAATAGCCCTGTGAACGAACTAAACACAATTTGACTGGCCCAAAGAAGTACACAAATGAATGGGCTTAGAAGTTGCATCTGTCAGCACGCTGAGATGAAATTGCATTAAAACCAGATTCACTATCCTTAAAAGAATAGCCGTTTGCACGAACTAAACAGACCTTCAGAAGAGCCAGATAGTCTTTTGGACAATCGGCGGGAAGGAAAACCCCTAAGCTAGAGGTCTACACTGACATACATATCTGATCCTATAGATGAGGGAATGAGCTTAAAAACTCAATAACTAAACCTTTCACTTCTGTTATGACCGAAGAAAAATTTGTAAAGAATGGCAAAGAGCCATCAGGATAATGCCGCTAAAACCTCAGCATCAATTTACACTAACAAGTTGATTTTTTTTTTTGGCAAGGGGGCATTTTTCACCTTGCTGTTTTCAACAAAGATGTCTAGCAATCCCATAAACATTGCAGTGAAACCACTTGCCCGTGGCTCGTGGTTCCACTTGAGTATTGAAATTGATGTCATTTCTATGATCGATAAAAGTACCGACCAGGGAAAATTGTTGTCAATTTATTAATGTGACTTTACATTTCTGGTCTCTATTACTTTAAATTCTTGGAATGAATGAAATCTTGTAGTAAATGTAACTGTTTAAATGTAACCTTTTCATCTGTTCTTTAATTTGGTGTATTATACGAGAAGAAAGTAATAGATTTGTCTTTAATTTGAAGACTTTGCCTTCTTTGAAGTGAAATGACTAAGACAGCTATGTAATCTTACAATACCTGTTAGATGTTGTAACAATCACTGTCCCCTTTTCCAGCATTGTTCGAAACACGCCTTCCAGGAGACGAGTAGAACCAAAGTCAGCCAGTTGCATTTCATCAAAACAGAGCAACCATGCCTCGCCAGCTAGCTCAGATGCAACGGCTTCTACTGGGGTTACATCGAATGTCACCTCATAATTTGGACAGCAAAGGTTCCAGCGATTCATTAGTGAATACAGCTGCAGCATGAAGGAATAAAAATGGACACGCTTCTTGTTTAAGACAGGAATACTGTCATAAAATATGTCCATTAACATTGTTTTTCCACTTCCCACTCCTCCGTGCAGATAGAGTCCCTGAGGTGCTTCTTGTGGTTGTGAATCTGAAGACAAAGAAATGGTTTTATGTGATAAGAAAGTGAACAGTAATCATAAATTCCAATGGGAGAAGCTTTTGATACACATTTCAAGCATGCGTGTCATCCACATTATCATGCAAAAAAAAACACTGTAGTAAGCCCCTTCAGGGGAATAAACTTTAGGGCATGATCTGACAGAGACTGAGGGGTAAATTGAATTTTTACAGAAAGCAGGATTTATTTACAGTGAAACTCCAACAATACAGACACTGAGGGGCCCATATACAGTGTCTGGTACGTGGGGTGTTGAAATTAGGAAAAATGTAAGGGCTGGGGACAAGGAAAATTATGTGTAATAACAAAGTGTCCATATTAAGCTGGTGTCCGAAAAGCGGGATTTGACAGTAATTACCGGTATTTATTTATTTTATTTATTTTAACAAAATTATACTCTCATTGGCAAAGGGCTAATCCTCACAAACAGTCAGCTTTTTCGTCTCTTTTATAAGCTTTTTACAAGGCAAACAATAATATCCACCTTAAATGTCAACTCATTAATATAATAAAATCTAGCCTGCGAGTAAGCTCTCTTGGGGCTCCCACGGGTACAGGGGTGAGGAAGGGAGAGGGGAAGGTGATGTTGCACTTGTGTCTCATAAATTTGAATATCTTTTAATTGTCCCATACTGGGATACAAAATGCTAATTGGCTGATTTTTTATCAGGCGATGACGTTATGTTCCCCAGGGAGAGCTTGCTTGCAGACTAACGGGCTTTACATATTGCTCTAAACGAGAAGATCTCTTTCAGAGATTTAACACTTTTAAAATTTCAGTATAGGTGTGTTATTTGCTAGTTGCTTAAGTAGCTTCTTTGCAGTGGGCAGAAAAGGACATGTGCTAGAGTTTATATTGCAGCGAAGGAAAAATATGTATAATTTTAGCACCTTATGCAACAGAAAAATTCTGTTTGGTGTATTCCTGTCAATTTGTAACTCGTTTTAATAGCAAAAGAGAGACGCAATTTCTCTAGATGTTCTGGACATCTTTGTTTCAAAACAATTTCAGAGAATTATAACAAAAGTCTGAGTTAAAGTACGCCACATAAGCTTGCAAAATATGTTGTTGTCTCAATGCCAAGGGCTGAAGCAGGCATAGGCAGTGGTTTTCCACTTTTTCAACATTTTTCTGTTGATCTTGCACCGTCAATGACCTGCCTATAAAAAATACTTCTGGTGTTTTATCTTTTTGCTGCAGCTGTACTTTTAGGACTTGGTTTGCTATTGCGAAATTTATCTTCCACGCATGGATGACTTTCTTGGGGATGATCCTACATGTAGTCCTTTCTCATCACAGCAGATAGTGACCAGAAAAGCTACCTTCAAAAGTTGTTTTTCAGCAAAAGTTGCAGGAAGAAATTAAAATGGATTAATGCACTTATCAGCAGCCATCCCAGGGGATCATGTGGCCATGACACAGGATTTGCTGACATTTGCTGCTAATTTTTAGCGCAAGATTGGAGAATCGAATCACTTTGCACTTTTGTAGCTGGGGAAAGACCTGCAGGATGTTTAATGCACCTAGTGGAGAAGGGCATGGTAGCTTTTTTGTGATAAAATATGTTCTTGGGTGGGGGAATTTGTAAACATCATTGTACAAATGCCAAGGGGGGCCTGGGATAGCCACTGATAAGTGCATGATGCATATGTGTTTGAGCTAATAGATTCTTATTAATTTAACTCATTTGGGTGAAATACTATGATTTGCTGCCTTTGAATTCTTAACCCATTCACCCCTGAACTACCCATAAGCACCCATGGGGATTCATGCCTCTTCTACCACTTTTGACGTCATCAGTTTTAACAGTCAAGGACAACTTTGTATGCCAACTTGTACAAGGAGAAGAGATCTTTCTAAACCATTCCAGAAAGGGCACAATTCAGTAGAGGAGAGCAGAAAGAAAGGCAAAAAACATGTCATATTGACCCGAAAATTTCCATGAAAACCTTGTTTCACCACCCACTTACCTTTCCTTTCATCTAAATTATCCTAAGATCCTAAAAGCTTTCCCTAAAACTTTTCCCAGCAAAATGAAGCCTACTAAATGTCCACCAAAAGAAACAAATTAAGGTAAGAAAAGCAAAAGAAGAGGGGAGGAGAGAACGCGAAAGGAAGAAGTCAAGACTGCTGCGACACTTTTAAACCCAAAAACTACCTCGAAATTTTGCTAAATTTCTACGCATGCCCGAACTTCGCTAGCTAATATTTTGCATCTGGATCAGAAGGCCGCGAAGTACTCGACTTTTAAACAGCTTAGTGGTAAGTTTAAGCTCTTTACAGCCAGAAAGTGACTAAAAAACCGCTCGACTAGCGTTTTTCGGCAAAATTCCCCGGGGTGAATGGGTTAAGAAATGCAAGGGCAATGTGGAAATCTTAAAATTGCCCAATGTATTAAACAAGGCCTTTGCAGCTTGATACAGTTCAAAGGGACAGAGTATACAGAAGCGTTTTATTAACAATATACAGGACTTACTTGTCTGTTGTTGTCGAGGATCATAATCCTTGAGTCGCTCGTATAAACCTTGCAACTGATAGACGACTTGAAGTTGACAGTCATCTGGCTTAAGTACTTGCCTTTCCAGATAGGAGTTGTACAGTCGTAAAGGTCCTTCATCAGAACTCGCTACTTTGCTACAATATGTTTTTCTCAACGCACAACTAAGAGCTTGAATGTCCCAGAGAAAACCGCAACGAATGACTCGTTGTGTCGATCGAACAAGTGTGGACGAGAACATTGATGTTCTGATAAATTACGAAAATACGTTTGTAGATTTTTGCTATGCTATATCGTTAGGAATTAAAGTAAATTGGAAATCGGAGAAAATAAATGATAAATTAACGTTCAGAAATTGAGTACAAGGCGAACAAATGGCCGATTACAAAACCGACCCCGCATCCGCCATCTTTGAAATTATGTAACCGGGATCACTCGCGGTAAATCCCAGAATGCAATACTCCGATGCCCGCTGGTCATGAGTCACGCACTACAGGATCTCGGCTCAGTCATCAAGTAAATTAGCTTGCGAGAAAAGGCGACGACCGGAAATACGTCTGCTGTTCGCAGGCTACAAGTACATTTGTCTAAACATGGAAGTTACAGTATGTTCTCTTGCTTGCAACTATTCCTAACCCGTGACAACTTCAGATGCTTTCGCGAGTTTTTTCTGTTTGTTTTTGTTTTGTTTTTTGTTGTTGTTGATTTCTTTGGCAAACGGATGGAGGATCCGCCCTCTGACATGGGTGAAAGATAGTACATCGTAGATACTTTTGTTTTTGGCCATCTTAGCTTAAGAAGATACAAAAAGCCAACTGCGGTGGGATAAACATAAGGAAATATAAACGCATTTCTGGAAAGAAAAAAAGACTTTAACTTGACGTTTCGCCCGGACGTTTCGTATGTTCCAACATACATCTTCAGAAGTAATAAACCGTTGAATAACAACAGAAATTTAAATGTAGAATAAGTAACTAATTAAAGAAACAAAATATAACATATAATAGAAAATTTTGCATATAAAAGCTGGAAAAGCTGGAAGGGTATTAAATTAAAAAGGTAAAGTTTTTTACTGCTGACATTTTCATTTAGGGTGTGTCCGACCGTCCTCTTGCCAAAATTTCGTATTAGTCCCATTTCATTTTATGACCAGTTGACGTGACATGTTCGGCAATAGCAGATGAGTGATTGCTATTCGTAACAGTTTGAAGTACTCCGTTTTCCTGTCATGCAATCTTCGTTTAATTTTACCTATGTAGAAATCCTGGCAGTACCAACAACTAGCCTTATCAACAAACCTGGACATATGAGAACGGGTGAGTCTGTCTTTGTAGGGAAAAAAAGACTTATACGATGCGTGGCTTTGGAAAAAAACTCGAAGGTCATACCAGCCGTAGCATTTATTGATGCAAGCCTTTACTTGTTTGGTGAGGATTCTGCTTTGTAACCCTAAATAAGGTAGAATTAAGAAGACTTCCTTTTTGGGTACTGTGGTGATTGGCTGTTTGGGTCTGTTTTGTTGCCTGTTCACTAGAACATCATTAATGTCGTAATTCAACAAACCGCTGGAATAACCGTTTTGTAATAACAGTTTTCTCAGTTCATCCAAAGAACAACTCAAAAGAGAGGGTGACGAGCAAATGCGGAAATAAGGTTTATCTTGCATTTTCTGAGTATGAAAGAGTCCCAGAATTGCGATTATCTTTCCTTATCTTTATCACCGCAGTTTGCTCAGTTTTTGTTTCTTCTAAAGATAGTACCAGCTTTAGCTTGTGGCTACCGTTCTCTTCCTCCTTTTTTTTTTCAATGAAAAATGCTGCGAACCAACCAAATCAACACTCAGCAAGGACCCAGGGTTTAACGTCATACAAGTTCTGATCGTACCTATCTAGGCTATGAAGCCGTTTACAATAGTGATCCAGATCGATTTAGTGATAAAATGAAATAAGCAGTCTCCTTTCTTTCTCCAATTTTATTCGTCACCACCACATGATAGATAAACGCGCTAACAAATAAGCCTGAGAAAGGAGCCGACATTTCTCGACGCCACCACTGGTTAATAGGCCCTTTGCGGGACTTGGTCACGTGACCATTCTTAAGCAAAAATTATGGGGTACAGCTCTAAAAATGTCTTAGGTGGAAAGAGCACGGGAAAATTAGCCAGGAGGCCAATTTTTAGGAGACTGACACATAAGACTAAGATTTCATAGCTGCTGGAATGTTTAATAACGATTTGTATGAAAAAAGTTGCTGGAACGCATGGCGTGCGTTCCAGCGATTTTTTCCACACAAATCCTTATAATTTTCCAGAAATTCAACCAGTGGTGGCGTCGCGAAATGTTGGTTGTACTCTCAGGCTACCTAACAGCTGTACCTAAGGATTCTCTTTCTATCAAGTCAATTCTATTTGCACGTAATGAAAATTAAACAGAGTTACAGATGGTACAAGTTCCAGCTCAGCTTCATCAACCTCGTCCCAAGAGAAATTGACAGGTTCATCTGGAAAATGGCACACCCCAGCTCGTTCCCAGGGTTCTTTCCTACTCGTCCCCGTCTCTCCCTCCTGAGGAACGAGGTTGACGGTGATAAATTCTGTGTTCAAGTTTCTTTCGTTACCCCACCCCACCTTAGCAGTCCTTATAACATTCCGCACTCTTCTTTAGGATGTCTCATTTTGAGTTGACTGAGATTGAAGCAATACTGTACGTCCTTATTTACATTTAATGTTTTAAGTGAGAACTGTTCTTGACACGTTCTTAAGATAAGGTTTCAGAAATTTAGCTTTTTACAGCTTATTAAAGCTCATTTTAAAGCCGTTTCAGACATGTCCCGTTAAAGCAAATTTAGCAAGCCATAATTCATTTTGTTATTACAGAAGCACCCTTATTGCTCCTGCAAAACGATGAAAAAAGGAAGTTTTTACCATGTTTTTGGAAGATGAACAAATGGAGCCTGGTTGACAAAGTCGTCCCACCAAAAATTTTTACGTCTAGGTTTTTGAACTCTGTTGAGTTGTCTAACTTTTCGATTCTCGCGAACGGTGGTAAAAGTGGCCCCATATATATATCTTTTTTTCTGAAATAAATAGCTTGAACGTTACCTGAAAAAAGTGAACCTGCAGTGAACGATTCTTATCCGGTGTGAGGAAAGATACTTCCTTTTCTATTCACCCACACCACTCTCTATAATGACCCCATTCGGAGAGGCTCCGCCCGAAAGAGGTACCTTTTTCAGGTTTCAGGTATATGAAAGGGTAGGGATCTCACTTGTTGAAGGATATGAAAGGGTTGGCAAATTTGTCATTTCGGTCTGTAAAAAGACCTAAAAGGGCTAACAGAAGGATTTGTGGCTGTAAAAAGTGGATAAGATTTCCTGGTTTTGTGATTTAGTCAGTAAATTTACAGCAGTTAAAAGGGAAGCAAAGTTCTAAACTAGGTATGTGAAAGAGGTACCATTTCTTAATGGAAGCTATTCGAAAGGGGTACCTTTTGAGTCAAAAGGGTAAGGGGTTGGACCTCGGGGCAGAGCCTCCCCTTATAAAACTTTACTTAGTCGGAGCAAACCCTCCTTACTACACCTGACTAATGACAATGACGACGATGATGATAACGAGAGGAAGAGGAGAAGGAGGAGGATTTTGATAATGATGATGATCATAGTGATGACGATGATGATGATGATGATGATGATGGTGATGATGATGATGATGATGATGATGATGATGGTGATGATGATGATGATGGTGATGATGATGATGATGGTAAAAATAAGAATATTACTAATAATAACTATTTCTATTTTTCTATACATATAATTACATAAGACTAAAAATAAACTCATATGTTCACGGCAAATTTGCACAATAATTTGAAACAGTAAGAGCAATACGCGTCATCCATTTTTTTTGTGATAAATGTTGCACAAAACACAATGAAATAATAATATTCCACAAAGACATTAAGATGCTTGACAACTTCATAACACCACGTTTGAAAGCCTTGTCCAAGCTTTGATACTTCTTTAAATATAAATAATTCTCCTTAACAGAACCAACTTGCAAACCTCCACTCTTTTCACGTCAAAAATAACTCTCTCGTACCAACGTGATTTCAGTTATGCACAGGTTTCTGCCTGACGGATTTGTACTGAATTTGCCCTAACGACGTCATTCTGAACGATGCATTATACGACTCCAGAATGCCAGTCTTTCTATAGGTATGTCCATTGCCATTATATTTTTCTTTGTGTGGCTTATTCTCAAAGAGGGCAGCTCGGTTCTGGTTTTCATCCTTATTCCTCTTGACCCAATGTCCATAGATACGAAATGCACATCCATCAATCATTTTCCGCAGCGGTTTTACGCCATAAGGCTCGCGAAGAATTAAATCAAAAGTCACTGGTTGTAGCTTATTTTTTGCCAACTTCGACAATTCGTGCACCGCAATGATTGCAATAACCGTTCCCTACAATACAAAAAACAACAAAACAGTCGGTTTTTGGTGTCCCCGATTAGTAGGCTACTTGTGGCCAGCTAGAAGATTTTGACATGTTAACAAAGTTGTTCATTCATTCAATGATACTTAGTAACTTCCAAGAATACCATATCAATTCAATTCAGTCCAAGAGAAAAAAATGCAGTAGGAATAAAACAATAAACCATAGCATGTTACAGTGCAGCTTAAAAGGTGTAAATTACTTAAAACCATAGAGGAAGAACTGTACATGTACGCCACTGACATACTCGTGCACTTGCAGAAAGTCCTTAGTGACAACAACATGCATTAACCGTAGGAGTGAAAAGCTTTATAAATACTATACATGTATAGTATAAAACATATTGAGATCCAAACTTCTAATAAAATAAAGTGAATTCCTTAATTTTGCAGAGGGAGTTAACTGTTATTAGATATGACCCTTTTCCCACAACTATTTGGAATCCAAACATAATGGGTATATTATTACGTGTGCTCTTTAGACAAAACTGTCTGCTTCTCCTTCAGAAAGGATAATGAACTTACCTTGAATTTCCACCTTGCAGAAAAACCTTCATTCCGTGCTTGCTGTAAAAGAGCAATATCCACTCAAAGTTATACTTATGATTGAGTAAACAATATCATGCCTTACAGTGTACCCATGAAAATAGGTTGTTTTGAGAGAGGGGGCACGTAAGACAGGTTCTTATTCTCTAAGGTGCATTTGCATTTGTTTGGAAAATCCATTAATAGATTCTTGATCTCAAATTCTTTGGATTTTATTATTTGGGTAGTATTGACATTATCTGTCAAGATGTGGAAGACCTCATATTTTCACAGCTTTGCCAGGTGCACATTCTCGGATCCATGCCCAATGAAAAAGAGACTACAAATCCTAAATGCTGGATTTTGTCTTTATGTTACGAATACTTTCGGGGTGTGGAATCTCAAAATTCAAAATTCATTTGGAGTTTCCCAAAGAAATGCACCCTGACAAAGAACGAGCATTACAAAGGTCTGAAAGGCATCCGCTTTTAAGGTTCTGGAATTTACCAGGATTGGAAAGCTTTTTATGTTCAGAATATTCACAGTTGAAGAGGCAAATCTATATTAAAACTCCAAGTTGACGAAATAAAAAAAATAATAATATTAATTGGACTGGCTTGTAGGCTAGAACTCACTCATAATTTTAACCCTTTATGTCCAAAGAATGACCAACATCAATTTTCTCCTTAACAACATCAATACACAATCAAGAGAATGTTGTGAGAATTAAGAAAAATTAATGATCACCCCAGGGAAAATGCTTTGATCTTTTATCAAATTCTCTCAACTAATTCTTTAAGGAAATGTATGGAGATCAGTTTAAAGAATTTGTTTGTGGATACTGGGGCTGAAAGGGTTAATTTTGGAAATACATATATGGCTTTGAACAGTTAATAGGACTGGTTACTGGGTTACAGACCCTACCTTGGATGCTAAAAAAAATATCACTGGTAGTAACACCTTCATGCTGAACAATCTGCTGAGTGAATAATTATGTAATATAAGGTGTACCTGAGCTTCTTTAAACCAGTTATGTTCCAAAGCTTTTTCTGCAGTAAGCCTCCTCTTAGGATGAACAACAAGAAGCTGGGAGATCTGGAGGAAATTCCAAACATGCCACAATAAGAAACACTACATTGGGTGGTGCTTTAAACCTAAAATTCTTCAGTGGCATTTGTATTGTCACTATTATGTCAATAGTGTGAGAGATATGGGTTCCTCTCAACTAAATTTTGTATTAATTTTATTTTTTCTTGCATGTATAAATTATTGAAAAACAGGTTGTTGAGGGGCTGTTACATTGCAAAGACTATAGACAAAGAAGGAAGAAGAAAAACGTTTTTGGTGATACATATCTCACAAGCATTATCCTAGCTTCAAGGTGGTATATCAACATTTCTAAATTCAATTCAATCTAGAATGGTAGATGAAGAGGCACTTTGTGCAAGTGCTACCTGACCACCAAATTGCTATTATTTACTCATTCATTCCATCTATTTTATTTATTTATAATAATATTACTACACATGCTCACCAAGTCTTTTGCTGAGGCAGAAATGTCATCCCACTCAGGACTATGAAAGTGATATCTCCCCTCCATTATTGATCTTAGCATGACCACTTGTCGCCGATGCCAGAAGGGAGGGCAACCTACCAGCCTGGATGAAAATAAGTGTGCCACTTAGTACTTTTAATGAGCAAAATGGTCTAGTAAGTTTCTAGATGTGTTAGTATGACCTGATGTGGTAAACAACAACAACAAACAACTAGCTCACAATCAAATTAGTAGTGTTACTGCTTGCAAACAGTAAGTTATGGCTAGTTAAGACAGGCAACTTGTGTAACAACACCTTATAGACTGCAGAATTCGACATTACAGGAAGGTAAAAAAAGTCGGTAAGACTCCAACAGATAACTTATACAAATAACGTATATGTTGTAGTTAATTTCTTGTCTCAGTTAATTTTGTTTTCTCACTAGTTAATTTTTTTCCAACTAGATAATTTTTTTCTAACTAGTTTATTTTTTTCTAACTAGGTAAATAATAATTTAACTAGTTACATTTTTTTTTGGCTGGTTGATTTTTGTTTTTGCAACAAATTATGTTTATAAAACCTGTTATTTTCTTTTTTTTAAGTAAATGCTCAAGGGTTTTTTTTGTTTGTTTGAGTAGGGTTAGGGTTAGCTATAGGGTTTGGGTTAAGGTTGGGGTTAGGGTTAGGGTTGGCTTTCATTAAGGGTTAGGGTTAACTATAAGTTTTGGGTAAGGTTAGGGTTAGCTTCTTCATAAAAATTGAGTTTGTAATGAGTATCTTCATGGAATAATTCACATTATCATCACATTTTCCACGATGAATAACAATCTATTTAACAACATGTTGAATGTCCTTTAATATTTGTAATCACAGAGAAACTTAAGAAGTCACATTGGCTTTACTGCATTATACTACTATACATGGTGTTAATTACAACACTGACATTATGTCATTTCCGTTCTAATTGAGTTGTCTACAGCGTACATTCAATGTTGATGTGCATCAATCATTAAATACATCAATAAATATTTGAATTTACACACAACTGTGAAATAAAGTTTCTTGTTCTACTGCTCTATTGCCATTTTGCATGCTTTGGTGAAAGTGATTTCCTTATCCTTGCTTATTTTGATATTTGTTGCTTGGCATTTAACTAATCTAGCTGGCGAAATGAGGGTGGTAATAATTCCAAATTTGCAAGCAACTTTAGCATATTCATTTTCAAATGCAATGATTTCTCCCATAAGCACATTTGGATGAAATGGTGTTTTATCTACTAGGTCAATTTTGATGCTAACAAAATCTCCAATATTAAGGGTTTGAGGCTTTTGCCTGGACTTCTTCATTTTTTCATTGTACTCAATTTGGCGTGAATTGACTTCGATTCTTGTTCTTTTCCTGCTTTCACATTCAGTAGTGGGTGGGGTTTTTCGTTTTACTGGCGCATTTGTATTTGCCATCTCTGACAGCTGATCTTCTTCTTGAGTGGGATTCAACTTCTTTTCTTTTTTGGGATCAATTCCAAAAACAAGTCGATATGGTATTTCCTTGACAGCTCTGTGGATGGTAAGGTTCTTCTTGTAAGCTACTTCTCCCAATCTTGAACACCATGTTGTGGCATCAGCTTGGTTCTCTTTAAGTATGTTTGTTAAGTTCTCTTTAATAGTCCTGTTATTTCTCTCCACAAGGCCTTGTGTTTGTGGTTTTCTCGGTGCACCATGTGCTTGTTTAATCCCATGGTTTTGGCAGAATTCATGCATTAGTTTGTTTTTAAACTCTTTACCATTATCAGTGTGCAGGGTTTGTGGAAATCCAAAAAGCCAAAATAACTCTTCTAATTTTGCATGTGATTCATGTTCTTTGACTTGTTGAAATTTCGGAAGGGTTTGCAGATAATTCTTCGCACTTTCATAAAACGAGTCGTCGATATAAACTGTAACTTTGCTTTCTCCGCGCTTTAAGGATTCTAACTTTTCGTAGAAAGTTTTTTCATCAACACAATCTTCCATTTCGAAGCGAATCTTAGCGCGTTCGAAAAACCTTCAATCGTGTTGAAGTCTTGTTTTCTAGCCAATGCGCATGCTCGAATGCTTTCATAAATTAAAAATGTGGGTTGGGGTGGGACTGGGTCAAATAAGAAATAATTAATAGAAATTTTGAGTGATTTAGAACAAGAGCCTCTGTGGTATAGTGGAGATCACATAGTCCTTTAGATTCAGCGAGTGCAGTCTAGAAGGTGAGAGTTCAAGGCTTGGTAAGTACAAATGTTGTAGTAAAAAAAAATAAAATAGAGGGGTATTAGAGTAAATGGGGGTAGTAAGTGGAGTAATGGGACTCAGTGGGGAATGGAGAAAGTAATCAAAAGACATCTCCCAATTGTTACAATGTTTATTTCATTTGTTTTTATACCCCCTAAAAAACCACGCCCCTATTTTTTAACCACACTCCATAAAAGAAAATCCCTTTTTAGACAGTTGATAGAAAAAATAAACCAGTTAGAAAAAAACTAACTAGTTGGAAAAAAATTAACTAGTTAGAAAACAAAATTTAACTGCAACATATACACTGCTCGAATTTCAGAAAAAAATCTTGGGGCCAGCTGGCCCCCAAGTTTTCATTTTTGGTCGCCAGAACAAGTATGCTAGTCGCCAACAATTATATTTAAGAATTAATGGAATACAATAAACTTAGCAACTTTTACTTAGCCTTGAAGGGACTGGTTCACGATAATGTGCATGTGTGAGTTCTGACAGTAGCTGATTGTTTTTAAACCAATCGGAAGCGAGTTTGATGCACGCAAGTAAATTTACAAATTCAAATTAATTGTTCGCGACGCGAGAGTATTTCCGGGCATTTGGTTTGATTTTATTTATCCCCATAATTCAAGTTTATTCTTTGTCACTCCTCAGATATATGTTGCAGCCAATAAGAATAAGATTTACAGCCCTGTCCTGCTTTGAAACAAAGATTTGCCAGTGTGTATTTTTACAAGTCGTACACACACTAACAAAGCAGTCACCGATCGGCAAACAAAATTTGTAAACAAACATCTTATTACTGTTCTCTCAGTTCGCCTTATATAAACCCAGTTAATACCTACAAATANAGAAAGTAATCAAAAGACATCTCCCAATTGTTTCAATATTTATTTCATTTGTTTTTATACCCCCTAAAAAACCACGCCCCTATTTTTTAACCACACCCCATAAAAGAAAATCCCTTTTTAGACAGTTGATACAAAAAATAAACCAGTTAGAAAAAAACTAACTAGTTAGAAAAAAACTAACTAGTTGGAAAAAAATTAACTAGTTGGAAAACAAAAATTAACTGAGACCAAAAATTAACTACTACATATACAATACTTATACAATACTGTACTTACAGGGTGTACATAATTACTCCACAGGCCCACCTTGAAAACAATGAAAGAAGAAAAGAGAATTATTAATAAACTAAAACATAAAACAAAAAACAATCAAAAACTTGCTTGTAGTTGTGTTTATTATAGCTGTGACAGGGCTTTCTTGATGGGTTTTTACAACTACACAAGCACCAATGATTGATGAGAAAAAAATTATTATAATTGAGAGAAATGATATTTATTAGTTGTCATTAAAAAGGCACTGATTCTTAAAGGAAACAAAAGCAATCCTTCAATCAGCCTTAAAATTGCTAAGATGCTGTTTTCAAATCAGGTAAATTCTGGAAAAAAAAAAAAAACCTGCACCCTCCCCTTCATCCCTCCATTCAACAACAACAACAACAACAACAAAGCTGGGGTGACTGTTGTTCTCTACAGGTTGCTTGGATTGCGGCACAACATAGCCACTAGGGACATTTTGCCAAGAGAAACGTCTGTGCCCCAGCAACAGAAATTCCATACTGATGACGTAAACCAATGTTTACATAATTAATTTGGCAGTCATTAATGGGATTCCACATTTTTAAACTACTACATGAGAAATTTCTGCAATTTGATTGGCTTAGAGCAGTGGTATTTCACCTTAATTTGAAATACCTACATGTGAAAATTACAAAACCTTTGCGGGTTGTAGTATAAACAAATAATAGCATGATTTGTACGTGAAATTTGGCATAAACACCACTAGTGATATTTCAAAACTGTATCAAATTTCACTCGCCTAACGGCTTGTGAAATTACGTATAACAATTTTGAAGTATCACTCGTGGTATTTCTGCCAAATATCACTGCAAATCATGCTATTATCTATAGTTATACTACTACATGAGAAATTACTGCAATTTGATTGGCTTAGAGCAGTGGTATTTAAGCTTAATTTGAAATACCTACATGTGAAAATTACAAACCTTTTGTGGGTAGTAGTATAAACAAATAATACCATGATTTGTACGTGATATTTGGCATAAATATCACTCATGATATTTCAAAATTGTCTCAAATTTCACTTGCCTAAAGGCTCGTGAATTTACGTATAACAATTTTGAAATATCACTCGTATTTATACCAAATATCACTACAAATCATGCTATTACCTATACAAATTTGTTGGATTTTTTGTTTCTCCTGGTCAATTATGGATAAATTTTGTGTTCTTCTGAAACAAGCTCCCTCTAAACTTAAATGGTTTTTTTTAAAGAATATGAATATTCCACGAATACTGACTGTTTTGTAGTAGATTTAACTTGTTTACATTTGACCTTTGTGACCATTTGTTTTTTGACTGCCGTTTGTTTACAATCAATAGTTAAAACAACTACCAAGTCAACCAATCAGAGCTCCTGGCAAGATTCTGGACAGATTTTAAATCACCAGTATGGAATTTCTGTCACTGATCGAGGCACAGTTGTCCCACCTGGCAAAACAACCCCAGCTGCTAGGAGCAAGGAGAGACAGTTGTTTTTGTACATGTAGGCTATCATTTCATAATACTTTTCCACTTACAAAAATATTATTATTAATAAGTAAGAATATAAGGGCAGGGAAACATGCATGATAACACATGATAGAAAAATGCGATGAACGATCTACCAACTCTGTTTGACAAGACTAGCAGTATCAACATAAACTACACAAATGCCAAAAATAAATATAAAAAAACATAACATCTACTTACATGTCAACTTCCTTTCCATAACCAGGAGCATCAGCAAACATAGAGCATTGTAAGATTTCGGGTGATAAGTAACCTGGTGTTCCACACAATTCTACATATAATAATAACATAATAGTATTACTGTCAGTTATTCCTTGAAAACTTGAACTTAAAATCCACCCTGGCGAAAGAAAGAGGAAGCTAAATGATATAAAGAAGAGACGCATATCTGAAGTATTACCAAATACAATGTAAATGCAATCTAAAATAAAAGAGTCTTATTTCTCGTCTTCTGTTACTGTGTTTATGGTCCTGTTACAATAAAAACAAAACAGAGTTGACAAACTTGGGAAAAGAACATAAACAGTACCTCTCAAAGTTTCCCCTTCTCTAAGCTTCACTGCAAAGCCAAAATCTGATATTTTCACTTTAAAGTTTTCATCAAGGAGGATATTTTCAGGCTAAGGAAAGTAATAAAAGAAAGGAATGTTAAAAATAAAACTAACAAATATTTTTAAAGAGAAAAGAAAAATAAATAAACACTTTTGCCCCTAGTCATGCCTCATCTGCACCAACAATGACGTCTCTTCTATTGTGGGGCTAGGGTTGTGTTGCCATACTCAAAAGCACATTGGATCTGTTCTTTCATAGCATCCAACATCTATAATAGATGAGTCGTATGGCTCTAATTTTGAATCTTAAGTAAAAAAGGGATTTGATAATATTAAACAACCCCAAACACTTTTTGGCCTGACGGGTTTATAATTTTCTGTTGTTTTTACCCTCTTGTAAGCAACTACTTGATGCATGATACACTCTCTTTGTTCACTGTGTGAACTACGCCACTCAGAGTATACAAAGAATTTTCAAAGACATGTAACAACACATACACGTGTTACTTTGAAATAAGATAGTAGAAATTCTAGATAGTAAAGACTTCTTCTTGGAAGAGAACCACTGTGGGTCGATTTCTGTAAGCAACAAACTCCCATCAGTGATCACCAACTCTTTGCATTTTGGTGGCCACTTATGGACGTTTGACTGGATTCTCGGAAGAAATAACACCACTGAAACTTTAACCACATTATAAGATGTACCGAGTACAATTTGAACAACAGAAAAAACTAAAGAATAACGCACAACGGTTACCTAAAAATCTCTGTCTCTTCTTGTGCACGTACAAGAAGTTGTGTGTAACTCAGTCATTAAAAAAGTCAAAATCTACATATATAGCAAAATAATGAAGTTGATATTGTACAGTACTCACTTTCAGGTCTCTGTGCACAATTTCATTATCATGCATGAACTTTACTGCTCCAAGTACCTCGTGCATGATTCGCCTAGTAATAAATAGCAATAACATTTAAATTTAAAAACTGACATAACAAAGTAACTAAAGTGGAACCTCGATATAATGAACCTCTATATAACGTAGTCCTCGATATAATGAACAATTTTCTTAACCCCAGTAATAGTAAAATATATGAAAAAGAACCTCAAAATAACAAAGCCTCCTTATAGCGAACAAATTTTGCCACTCCCTTGGCCCTTCATTATATCAAGGTTCCACTGTACTAAGGAATTTCAAATGCTGTATAAAGTATAAAATGCAACTCATTCATTTAGAGAACTGCAAATCTTTCATTCAATAACCTATCCCTACTTAACACAGTGTTTGCTGAGGGCTGACAATTGGCAAGCTATAAAAGCATTAGTGGAGAAGATCAGGTAGAACATAAATCCGTGTACATTATACAGTATCCAAAAAATGCAGAGAAACAATCAAAGTTTTAAATACAGGAAAATTACATGGAAGTAAGTATATTGTCCTAAGATTAGAAATATTTTCAATAATTAATACTACAAGAACAAGATAACTGAATTTGGCTTTCATAAGATATGAACAGGTGATATAAGAGGTTTCATTTGCCAAGGCTGACAACACCCTGTCAAACCGCATTAATTTTTCATATCATACTCAGCCTGATCCAATAATATTGTTAATTGTAGGTCACCTATTCTAGTTACAGTTTCTCACCTGGTTTTCTTCTCTGACAAGGTTACTTGGTCGGTAAGATGATCGAACAGTTCACCCTTCTCGGCCCTATTATAAATCATGAAACATCATTGAAATGTGATAATCTGTGTACATGTATGTACTATTAATTATTTGTTATGATTAATACCTATTCATAAGACACATCATTCAACTGTAGGAGACTATATCAGGTTTACACGTATGTCCAAAAATGCAACGCATTGTTTAATAACATTAGTATAGAATGCTTCAACCACCATTTTTGTCGTTGCTTCCATTAGAATACTTTGAAGATAAGACAAATTTTAAAGTTTTCAACAGTCACACGGGCATTTATGTTCTATGTCATTCTTAAATCATAAACATAATGAGTAAACTCACAACTCAAAAACAAGGAAGAAGAATACTTCGGACTCAAAGACATCTACCAGTCCAACTGCAAATAACAGAGACAACAGTGAGAATACCACTATGGACATACATTTTACTGAAATGCATTCTTCATGGGCTAGAGTTAGTAAGCTTCATATAATACAATGAACCTTTTTTAAGAACTTTTATAAAATAACTACATGTAAGATAGTTCACACGTTCTGACTGGCATAGAGGCATGCATGAGAGTATGTAAAGATGGTTGTGATGTCAAGATGTTTTGCTCTTCCCACACTAATCATGCAAGCACAAATTTGAAAACGTTTTTTAATTGAAAACTCAACGAGTTTACTTTATTTACCCATTCTGTCATTGGCCAAAACTTGGAAAATCTTAACAAACATGCTGTGTCAATTTTTTGTTGCTTAAGCTGACATTATTTTAAACAAGAAAAATCTGTATTTTGGAAAGCATCTTTTTTGCAAAACTGATTACGCATGCAAGACTTTGTATACAAGACTTCGCAACTGGCAAGAATTTCTCTATAAATCAGTGCCATAACAAAGAGTTTTGCATTTTTTCTTGGGAAAGTTAATTTATAAAAGCAATAGAAAACTTTTTTCCTGTTTTTGTATAGCCTGATATAAACACTCAAGGGGTTGGGAGAATTCACGACAGTTCTGCAAATCCTTGACTTCATCTCAGGTTTGCATAACTGTCTTGAATTCTCACTATGCAAACATGGAAGCGTTTTCAGTTGGTTAAATAATACATCCCTTAACCTATACCACACTGGAATATTTGTAAGGGCTGCACTAAGATACAGACTTAATGGAGCACTCAACAGAATACCAGTCAAAACAAAAAAAGTCACTTACTTATATTCTCATGTCCTTGTAAGGATAGTAAAATAAGGACTTCTTCTCTTGTTGTTGCCTCAATATCCACACCACCTGTATCACTAAGCTTGTCAATTATTTTCACGGCATATGGTTTTCCAGTTTCTTTGTGGAAACATCTTCGTACCACACTGGAGATTCCTCTGAAAATGTGGAGAGTAATAAAAATATTTTTTATCATCTGCTCAAACCACAATTATTATTTCACAAATGCTGAGTAGTTGTTTTATGCACAAGTGTTGTCATCAATTCCTTTTAAGTTATTGCATCACCTTGGTGACTAACACCAACTACAGTATAGACACACCAGGACAAGATAAATTCTTGGCATTGTTTAGAGGTGTTATTTGTCTGAAGGAGGGTACTAGCAACTTTGACTGTAAATTTGAAAAAAGCTCTATCTTAAGAAGATTGTCCACGCAAACGGGTTTACCTCGGTGTAAAAACCTGTGAAGTTTTTCTTTGTTTTCTAGCTATTATTTTCCTTGGCTCTCTTGTGTTGACTTCTTTGTATTCATTGTTTTACGTCACCCGTGAGTTTAACAGGGTTTTACACCGAGGATGAGAGACGAGTTCCCCTAAAAATGCCTGAGTGGGAGGCTATGCAAACATTGAATTGGGTTCAAGGTTAAAACTGTTCACCAAATTAAAAACTTCTTCACAAAATAAATCTAAATTGCTTGTACATTAAAAGCTGCCCTGTAAAGATATATTTCTTCATTACTGATCATACTTGCTCAGTAGATCTTCAAAATGTCTATGCTTCCTTGGATAGGAACTTTTAGGAAAAGTCAAATTACGTCTGAACGGAAATTAGCTGCTGCAACTGTTCGGCTTCGAGCAGTCAATAAAATGCTACACATAAACTAACACTACAGATTCCTTTCAATTTCGTGTCAGTGAAATATTAAACATTTAATCCCTCTTGATACATCGGTACTTTGCCTTTACCAAGGAGCAGCATGTATAAATTCGCTTTAATAGATGCAACAACTACGTAAGTCTTACATGAGCTTACATAATACCATGCACAGGTCCCCATGCACAACCTTAGATTGAACAACGGATGTGACCTAACCCTTCGCTGTTATACTTCTTAAACGAACATCTAGATCTGCCGCTGACTTAAAAACTTCTTTTAGTGCTAGGAATTTAGTGAGGGAACCTGTCGTCGAATGACAAACTCGCGAAAAGGCGAGGTTAGAGTTTGCATAACATACCACGTCAAATTGCCGGGTATCTTCCCTCACGAGAAAAAACAGGTTAAACGAACCGTGGCCGTCCTCACGCCAAGCTCTATGATATTTTCTCAACAACAAGTTGCAAAATTAAATTCGTTTGAAGAAACATGCACTTCTTTTCGGGATATATTCGTGTTATAACGAAAACAAACAGCGTCCACTTACGCGCCCAGTTTCTCCTTAACTTCGTATCTGTCAGAAAATCCGCCGGTAGTTTCGCTTCCTAAAGGTCCATCTTCTAACTCAAACTCTGTCATTTCACGAGCGCCAAGTCACAGATCGTTAAATTTCGACTCTCCGACATAGTTATCAAATCATCCAAAGACAGTCATCTCGACGAGATGCAAAGCAAACGATAGCTTAACAACGCGACGTAGCAGAAGTGTTGCAACCCAACCGGAACAGGACAAAACGAACGAACTAACTCGCAAAATGAATACTTGTGATCAGCGGTATTGTGAATAAGTATTGCACACAACAGAGAACAACAGACAACACGTGAGTAGAGTTTGTAAGAAGTCACGAACGGGTGATCGTTAGGAAAAAACAAGAAAAGCTTCACATCAAAATTTTTATTTTGTTTCCTTTACATAACTAACTGCTATAAATTTGTTATCAGCTGTTATCTATTATACTCCGCTTTGTTTGCCCCACCTCCATCACTCCCCATTTACGCCTTTCGCATATACGTAATGTTATTTTCCTCGGCGAAGGGTCATCACATTTTAGGGAGGAACGTGCGTGACTCAATGAACCCTTTCGGATTTTTTTTATTCGTTGCCTCCTCAAATGAGAGAAAGTTCTGGGAACTAGTTTATCTGGTGCTGTTTCTTAAGTCCCAATCAAGACTTGAAACCATGTTGACGATATTGTTAAAGCGATTTCGGCCTCAAGGCTAATCGCCGCTATGCTCGGACGGCTCCTCCGCCAAAACAAGTACCAGCATTCACTCGTTAAATCCCCCGCTACGCTGGCTACTGAGAGTGTAAAAGAGAAGTACAATATTGTAAAGGGTTTTTTTACGTAATCGGCATCCGGCTACTGTGGTTCAACAAATAAACT